TATTTGCTCCTGGGTTGTCTCACCTAGTCACACTGTGTGCACTCTGACATTACATAGATTGAAATTTGGGTGCTTGGCAACCAGCATTTATTTACAAAGGTTGCACAGTGAATTCACATAATGATGGTGTGATTTTCTTAACCACTGTAGCAATTTGTTAAGCACAGTGGCAAAAAAAAGTTGTAAAATCAGATGTGACTCTCTTAATGACTGCACTGCGTAGTGATGGAAGTTCCAGTTCCACTGTGGTCATAAGTCAAGGACTCCCCATAAAATTTTAAGCCATAATCACTGCTGCTAAAACAGCATGCCTTATGTTAGCTTCCCTAGATACTCCAGGCCAAGAAACCAACTCCACAAGAAAGCTAAAACTACTTTTATAGAGATTACCTATAGAAACATAATTTTGTAAAGCTGGTTGCACTGAGCTTTTCCTGCTTTTCATAGTTCAATGAATTAGGGACACATCTGTATAAGTCACTTCCAAACGTTATCTGTACATTCTGGAGATAAAAAAAATGCTCTAACATGTTATTTACAGTTCAAACCACTCTATTATATTAATCAACCACCTACTGGACAATGAAACTGCATTTTCACAAACACTTGATGGCAGGTCCAAACTGCTCATTCTTAATCAAATTCTCATAAGGAACAATAAACAACAGGACAATAAAACATGGGAACCAGACCCTACAACCTTAGTAGGGGAACGAGATCTTACAAGAAATATACTTGTCTAAGGAAGTCTATTTTGCCATCATACACTAAAAACATCATTACAGGTTCCAATAAGGGTATGCAGAAGATAAAAGTGCCTCCATGGTGATATATACCATTATCTGCTACTCTGGATACTAAATGTATAACAGGGACCAGTTTTGTGCAGAAGGATTAATGTACAGTTTGACATTAGAAGTCAAAACAATGAAAATATAACATCAGAAGATTTCAAACTCCAAGAACAATTTATGGCGGAACTCAAACCACCATGAAAAAGCAGGCGTTTAACAGCACCACTGAGCTACAGATTACTGAACTCACATACATGGAAAGATTATAGGCAATCACAAAAAGGCTCAACAATGTGTTTTGACACATTACAATTGCTAAAGTACTTAGCGTATTTTTCACTTCATAAGACACACTTTCCCCGCTCCAAAAAAAGTGGGTTGAAATGTCTGTGTGTTGTTGCCGATCCTTTGAATAGCAGACGGGCTGCTGTGGCGGGGTCCTTTTACAGTGCTGAACCCCGCCTCTTCTGTCTTTGTCAGTGCCCCTCTTCTGTCTCTTTTCCACAGTGCAGGAGTCAATAGGCCAAGCTGGCACATGCTAGACACCTATCTGTGGTCCTCTCAGGCTCTGCCTGATATATTTTTTTTTCTTGTTTTCCTCCTCTAAACCTAGGCGCGCCGTATGATCAGGTGCATCTTATAGTGCGAAAAATACAGTATAATCTGTCCTATGTGTACCTGTATCAGCATAAGCAATCTCTATTGCTCTCCTTTCCTTCCATCTCTTTTGACAAAATCTGTAAAGATAGTCCTCACTGAGCAATCACAATTGGGATTGGCAGCTCCTTTGTTAAGCAAAATGGTCGCTAAGTGAGCCTGACCCACTGAGATAAAATTTTAGTTATCTGATTCAGTCGATTAAAAGGGTAAGAGTCAATACACCTGATTACAGAACAATGATATTTATAGATATAATAGACAATGAATTTATGGACATTAAAAAGAAACAAACCCAAATAGGATAAAATCCAATTAAGTAACATTGGAATGCTATTTTAAATAAATGGTTCATTTTCATATAATTTACTGTATATTAATCTAATGGCCACCAGAAATATATTGTATATTGATACAACAACTTCCAGAATCACCAATAAATATGACATTTTTAACAATTATCCGGGAGGAGGAGGATTTCTTACATACAGTTGCATATACTGCTTTATCATTTCAATCACTAGTTACAAAACAAATTCTGACTTTACTTATTTATTTATTTTTCAACTTGTATGGTCCCCTGTCGAGAGACTATGGATGATGAACAGTTTTAAAATAAATTAAAAACAATTCCCAATATAAATATAAAAAATAAAATACTTTCAGCTAAGGAAAATACCACAACAGTCGCTGTTAGCCAGGTGACAGGACCCTTCCCACACTTAAACAGAACTTCAGGGCCTTAAAAAATGCTAGCAGGATCAGGACTATCCTACTCTTGGGATAGAGAATATTCCACAGTGCTATGGTAGAAAGGAACCACCTCCTGG